TTGAATGTTTTCTACATTTTCAAATATATTGATTTCAATTACAACACAGAATACGAAGTGTACAGTGCTCACTTTATATTATTTTTATTTCAAATAGTTGCACTGTAAAAAAACAAAAAAAATGTATTTTTCAATTCACCTAATATAATTACTGTAGTGCAATCTCTTTATCATGAAAGTTCAACTTAAAAATGTAGAATTATGTACAAAAAATAACTGCATTCAAAAATAAAACAATGTAAAACTTTAGAGTCTACAAGTCCACTCAGTCCTACTTCAGCCAATCACTCAGACAAAACAAGTTTGGTTACAATTTGCAGGAGATAATGCTGCCCGCTTCTTGTTTACAATGTCACCTGAAAGTGAGAAAAGGCATTTACATGGCACTGTTGTAGCTGGCGTCGCAAGATATTTATGTGCCAGATTCTCTAAAGATTCATATGTCCCTTCATGCTTCAATCACCATTCCAGCGGACATGCGTGCATGCTGATGATGGGTTCTGCTCGATAATGATCCAAAACAGAGCGGACCAACGCATGTTCATTTTCATCATCTGTGTCAGATGCCACCAGCAGAAAGTTGATTTTCTTTTTTGGTGGTTCGGGTTCTGTAGTTTCCGCATCAAAGTGTTGCTCTTTTAAGACTTCTAAAAGCATGTTCTACACCTCGTCCATCTCAGATTTTGGACGGCACTTCAGATTCTTAAACCTTGGGTCGATTGCTGTAGCTATTTTTAGAAATCTCACATTGGTACCTTCTTTGCGTTTTGTCAAATCTGTTGTGAAAGTGTTCTTAAAACGAACATGTGCTGGGTCATCAGCTGAGCCTGCTATAACATGAAATATACGGCAGAATGCAGGTAAAACAGAGAAGGGGACATACAATTCTTCCCCAAGGAGTTCAGTCACAAATTTAATTATTTCATTATTTTTTAATGAGCATCATCAGAATGGAAGCATATCCTTTGGAATGGTGGCCAAAGCATGAAGGGGCATACGAATATTTAGCATATCTGGCACATAAATACCTTGCAATGCCGGCTACAAAAGTGCCATACGAATGCCTGTTCTCACTTTCTGGTGACATTATAAATAAGAAGCAGGCGGCAGTATCTCCCGTAAATGTAAACAAACTTGTTTGTCTTTGCAATTGGCTGAACAAGAAGTAGGACCGAGTGGACTTGTAGTCTCTAAAGTTTTATATAACTGCACTCAAAAACAAAACAATGCAACAAAAAAAATCTACATTTGTAAGTTACACTTTCACAATAAAGAGATTGCACTACAGTACTTGTATGAGGTGAATTGAAAAATACTATTTCTTTTGCTTATCATTTTTACAGTGCAAATATTTGTAATAAAAAATATAAAGTGAGCACTGTACACTTTGTATTCTGTCTTGTAATAGAAATGAATATATTTGAAAATGTAGAAAAACATCCAAAAATATTTAATACATTTCAATTGGTATTCTATTGTTTAATTTTTTTAATCTCAATTCATTTTTTTTGAGTTAATTGCATGAATTAACTGTGATTAATCGACAGCCCTAGGTCTAACATATTTTCATTGATGGGGAGGGTGAGGTGTCCAGGTACTGACATATGTAAGATGTGTAGCAATTTATGTGGCCTGTCCTGAACTTCCTTGGCTGGGATCTCAAGAGTTGAGTCTATCCTCATGAATGCCTGAACAAGGCCCTTCATTTTTGTTTTGTTTTTTATGCTTAAAATTTTCCAGGAATTTTCATTGGAAAAATTAAAAAACAGGTGAAAATTGGTGCAAAAAATTAATTTCAGTTTTCTGGGTAAATATCGGGAACAGAAGGACAGTAAAAAAAAGCAAAAAATAAAGAAAAGTAGGAGTACTTCTGACCCGACTCCCTGCTCTGGAAGGAGGAGATGGCAGCTTGCTAACCTTCAGCACTTCTTTATTTAGGACTCAACACTATTTTGCCTTACTTTAATGGACAGCCTCACATATACACTTTGATTAACTAACCACTAACACAAACAAATCTACCTAATGTAATGCATTGGATTTTCTTAATATAATGAGTATTTTCAGGTACCTGAGCAGTCCAAATTTCTGGTGGAAATTGGTAAGAAACAAATTAATTATGAATTATTCTTTTTTGGTATAAATCAAAAATGAAGGGCCTTGCTCCTGAAAAACGCTGTAGTCATCATAAGTGGTCGACAACAGTTCTGGGGCCACTGCTTCATCTGGGGATGACAAGATGTGTACAGGTATGGACTGATCTGTCTCTCCTGCAAGTCCTAATCTGGTGGAGAAACCTCTTGTACTGGTTCTCTTCTGGATGGTTCAGAGGATGGGGATCTGGGTCTAGGATAGGTAGCTGAAATAGGTCTCCTCTGGAAAGGAGGTCCCCAAGCAGTGGCGCTAATGCAGATATTTCCTTGCGGGAGTGGGGGGGGGGGGCAAACTTCAGTCCTCGCCATCCCCAGCAGGGACCCAATTCTGGTTTCCACTCATTCCTCTCCCCCTGCAGTGACCCTAGTCTGGAAAGTCTCCTCCTTATCCACACAGTGCATTAACCAGTGCTACCAGGAAACGAGTTCTCAGTGGACTGTCTGAGCTCCGCTGTACAAGAATAGACTCCATGCAACAACACTTGCCCTAGCTGCCCCTCCATCCAGACGGAGGGACAGCCAAACAAAATTTGAGTGGCATTCCAAGCACACAGCTTCAGTGGTGCCCTGGACAATTCCATAGCAGCCATACTGATTTAGTACAGGAACACTACTTAAAAGTGGTCAGGCCATGGTTCCCCCAGCTCCACAGCCTATGGAACTTTGAGCAACAGCAAAAACCTCAGAGAGTGAGGACATTTGCCCTCTCCTAACCCTCCCCAAATTGGTGCCACTATCCCCAAAGTGCACAGAAATTCCAAGTATGGTTGTAGGTATAAGGCACAGGAGGTCAAGCCAATGGGTACCATGGGTGTGGGTTCCTAAGTCAGCACCTTCTATAATAACGTGAATCTGATTCAGAGGTTTGTCAGGGGTATAAGGTCCAGAAAGTCCAGATAAAGCAAATCTTGCAAAGGAAGACTCTCCACTTTCTTCTGAAGGAGCTGTGGTAAAAATAGTCCTCATGAAAGGGAGGCCACTGAAGTAATGCGAATATGAATTGGACGTGCTCTACCTGGTACCAATATGGTCATCGGTACTGGGGTCAGAGTCCAGGTCAATGATAAAGGAAGGCACTTCACAGAAGCAAAAAAATGGAGAGCATGATTCCCAACAAAATGGTAAGGCCTTTGTAACAACATATAGCTTTGATGCCAGAAAAGCAGACAATGTCAGTATCAAGGATACAGGCATGAGGGTAGTGAGTATAACTACATCTAGATAGGGTCTGTACCAGAACCACAGATACAAAAACAGACATTGGTGCTTCACTAACAATATTAGTGTGATAAGTACCGATTGTATCAGTATGAGAGTAGCCAGTGCTGTGGAGAGTTAATCATGCAATCTCAGTACAGAGGACCTTACGTTTGCCAGTATGGTACCAGAAGAGATCGGAGGTAAGTCCATGGCCACATTGTGTTCAGTAACTTCACTATCAGAAAGGGTGTTCAGAGAACTATCTTTAAGTCTTGAGCTACCTTTATGTCTGAAAGTCTGGCGGTTTTATAAGGTTTGGATGCCAAACTTGGAGAAGGCGAGCTGCATATTTTCTCCTTGTGGAAATTACATTCCTTCTTACTTCTGACTCCAAAAGGTTTTGTAAAGACAGAAGATTTGGTGGCTGCTTCAACCATCCAGGAAGATGAAGCTGCAGAAGCACTCAGAGGATCTCTCATCCTACTCACACCTTCTTGTCAACTGTTTGAAATGGGCCATCCTGATTATCACTACAAAAGTTTTTTTTCTCCTGCTGATAATAGCCCACCTTAATTGATTAGTCTCGTTAGAGTTGGTATGGCAACACCCATTTTTTCATGTTCTCTGTGTGTGTGTATATATATATATCTTTCTACTGTATTTTCCACTGCATGCATCCAATGAAGTGGGTTTTAGCCCACGAAAGCTTACGCCCAAATAAATTTGTTAGTCTTTAAGGTGCCACAAGTACTCCTTGTCCTTTTTAGTCTCTGATCATTCAATGATTGCCTGTTATGTTCATTCCCTCTGAAGCACCTAGCATAGGCCACTGTCAGAAGACAGGCTACTGAGCTAGTTGTATCATTGATCTCACCTAGTATGGTTGTTTTTATGTTATGTTCTTATATGGCTGGGAAGCCTGGGTCAGAGGCTGGGTGCACTGATTGTTCAAGGAGAAGCATCCCGAGGCAAGACTTTCTTTCTTGATAAGTTCACTTTAAACATGTGAATTTATCTTGCAGATCTAAAATGGTCTGCAAGTGTCATACCTATCAGGGATGTGTGCTTCCTTGAGGCAGATCAAACATCTTATATGACCATCAGTCAGCAGCAGGACAGCTTCCCAAGATGGCCAATTTTTGAATCCCAAGGACTTATGGTTTATCATGGTGAGCGAACTGATACCAAGTACTTCCCGGGGAGAAAGAAATATTGTTCCCAACAGGGAAAAATAGAAACTACACAAGAAATACTAAACTAAACTAAACTTAAACTGCTGCTAACTAAATAATTGACTATTTAAAATGTATTTACTAGGACTATAGAAGGCATGCGTGATAAAAGAGGAGAGCTCAGACTCATAGCCATGGGCAGTGAGAAGGAACTGAGGGTAGTTGTGATGGCCTGATCCTTTTGGCCCTCAGTTGGAAGCACAATGACATGCAGGGTGCAAGCGCTGCCCCAACCAGTATTGCTGATTAAAATCTCTACCTTGAGTGCATTGGGCATGCACTTATCAACTATGGAATATCTATATCCATCTATCTATATATGAACAATCACTTGAAGAAGAATCACAATTCATTCAGTTTCAATTTCCAAGTGTCAGATATGAACACTAATCAATAAATCTGAAAAACAACTTACCTTCTCCATGACAGTAGGAAATAGAAACAGTTGTATGATGGGCTTCTAGGGAAATAACTGTTTCCTCTGCTCCAGCAGTCGGTGAAATTAACTGCTCAAAAAAACCCAAACAAACAAATTAGTCATAATTTCAATGACAGCATTTTATTTTGTAGTACAGCGAGCACCTGCCACAGCCCAAAGTGCAACTGTAAAAATACAATATGGCATATTGTTGAAGTTAAAAATGATATATCCACTGTCTTCAACTCTATTAGTTTTTGTTCAACATGTATATTGCCAAAATGGCATCAAATAACAGAAAGCACTTAAATATTGAAGAACTAATACGTCAAAAAGATTATTCTGACAATACATGTTACAAATATACTAGAAAGATGATATCTGAGAATAGGTTCATTAATAAATTTTAACATCTCAGAAACCACTCTAAGGTGAACCCAAAAAAGTATAAGATGCTCTTGACTGGGAACACATATTTATATATTTCCTAGATAAAATTCTGTCAACATTAATCTACCAAAAATCAATCAAGTTTAGTAAATTAAAATATCTAATTTTTGATGTATACATCTAGTGCAGGGGTAGGCAACCTATGGCATGCGTGCCAAAGGCGGCACGCAAGCTGATTTTCAGTGGCACTCACACTGCCGGGGTCCTGGTCACCGGTCCAGGGGGCTCTGCATTTTAATTTAATTTTAAATGAAGCTTCTTAAATATTTTTAAAACCTTGTTTACTTTATATACAACAATACTTTAGTTATATATTATAGACTTATAGAAATATACCTTCTAAAAACGTTAAAATGTATTACTGGCACGCGAAACCTTAAATTGGAGTGAATAAATGAAGACTCGGCACACCACTTCTGAAAGGTTGCCGACCCCTGATCTAGTGGGTGCATCCACACGAGGGCTTGTAATGCCTGTAACACTACTGTTTTGGATCACAAAATTCTGCATTATTCCCCTTATCCAACCTTCGTGTCTCCATTTTAATCCCACCATTCTCAAATCCCCATAGCACAGCTTCTATCCTTCCAGATAAGAGCTTCTAAACAGAAAAATGATGCACCAATCAAGCAGATGTGCATTGGCCGAACCATTGGAACACACTGAGGCACTCCTCCACATCACCTTAAAGGTTAGGACAAAGCCTCCAGGGTGCTCCAAAACCCAAATATTGAGATACTGGTGTCTCCTACATACAACAGTACAATGAATAACCACCATAACTTTTGGCTAGCTCAACTCTAGTTATTGTAATGAATGGGATTTCCAGTAGCCAGTGCAAGTCATAGCTATAGAAATAAGAACATGTTTTTGAAGGAGGTCTACAGGAGATATAATATACAGCTGATAATTACTTGAGACTATATACAATTCTCTTTTAAAATATAATCTTGAATGTTCTGAATCCACTGTTTTCCCAAGTTTGGTCTACTTTCTGCTCATAGATCAAAACTGCTTGAAGATGTGATGAATTGTTCCTATAAAAGTCGCCCATTTTTAACAGTAGGCAGCAATCATGTGCAGGTCAGTTAAAGAAGAGGCTGCAATAGTATTGTAGGTTATCTATTTGGTTTGTAATCCTAAATGCTCTGAATCCCCCCAGTTCTTAGGCCCTATTCGAAGAAAATACTTAAGCATGCATTTAACATTAAGCATGTGCTTACGTCCCAATAAACTCCAATGGGACATAAGGACATGATTATGAATTATCCTGAATTGGGGCCATAGTCCCTGAACTTTCTATAAACACATTTTCCTGTAAATTTTCTGTTATGCAATACAGCCGAAAGAGTATCTGATTTCTGTCCTTAAGATGCCTTAAATTCTGCTTTTCATTCATCTACTGAAGGATTTTTGAGATTGATTTGCCATCTTAAAAAGTAGCTTACCTCAGACAACGGTTTTAAGAGACACACTTCTTTAAATCATAATTAGAAATCACCACATTTCATTTACTATCATCATATTTACAACAGGGACAACATGGTCTAGTGGTCATAGAATGGCTGAATGTCAAAAGTAGTTCATACTCTGCACTGACTCACTGAGTAACTTGGGCAAGTCATAATCTCACTATGCCTCAGTTTTCCAACAGTGAAGAATTTAATACTTGCCTACTTCATTGTGATGTCTGATGCTTAATTAATTAATCTTTACTATGCACTTTCAAATCCTTAGATTAAAGATGTTATGAACAAGTATAAAATATTAATATTTTACACCAAATCCAAAGTAAATTAAAGTCTTTTTACCAAATTATTATTTTGATATTTAAACTTTACGATTAATGTTAAAAAAAAATCATAACTTTTAGTAAGAATGAATGGAAAAGACATTATGGAATAGTGATTTTTAATCATATCTCTGATAAAATAAGTACCAGAGTACTCAATTTATAAATAAATATAAGGCTTACTTATAAAAAACATTACTTCCTTTAAATATTTTTATCCAATTACACAGACACACACCCTTGAATATACAAGATTAAAGGAATATAAAGATCAGGGAAAAAACAAAATGCAAGAAAACTGAATAAATTTCAAGATGGTGAGGTAATGTACTGAAACACTCAAAATTTCAATAAATTCCTCGTCAATGCCAAAGCAAACATCAACAGCCTCCTTCAAGATCTACTAGACCAAAAAAACATAATTCAGACAATCAGAGAACTGAATTTTGTTAATTCTAGTTCTCTTTCGAGAAATAGCATGTGTTGCTCCAAGCCCTCTCTTTTAGTGTATTTCTCCTGGCTCTCCAAAAAGATTTACATGCTTGTTTATCCATCTTTAAAGTATAAAACTGAAATGTCATCCTTACTGTCCTCACAATATTCAAGTTTACTTGCAGAAAGAATAGTCAGTCACATAGCCATGGATCTAAATAAGTTGTGTACAGGGTGGATAACAATCAATATTTATAAAAAAGTTTATTTAAATTGGATTTTTCTTTTCTAAAATAAACCTACTTAAAAGTGAATTTCAAATCATCTGAAAGCCAAAATTTACTGTAATCTATTTGAACTATTTAAATTAAAATTAAAAAAAATAGTATTCAAGCAGTACAAAGTTTTACAGAAAGTCACACCACTGAACTGGTGGAAGTCATTGACTAAGAACCTGGAACCAGAGTATGCTGAAGTGCTAAACAAGCTTTTGACAGCAGTAATCTCTTCTGTAGGTGCAGAGAGCATAGTTTCTTCATTTCAGTTTATTCAATCAGTTCAATTCAATGACTGGCTCTCATTCAAAGCTGAGCAACTGATTGGGAGCAGAAAAAGCTTGTTTTCCTCTTCCAACCTATGTATAATAACTAGGTGTGAGAAGGTGAGATCCACTACTTCTAAAAATTTGAATGACATTGGGACAATCAGTTAAATTCATTAACCACAGTTAATATTTCCTTTGTCTAATAAATCGTTTAGTTTTAAATTGCAAAACATTGTTTGATAGTTAATTTTTTCTTATGTATTCAACACATTTAAGGGAGTTTTATTCAACTAATAGATAATTTTGAAATGCTGTGTTTGAACATTTTTGATTGAATTCCAATTTTCATCCAAATGCAGTCTTACACAAATCGCAAGTAAAAACAATCATCTAGTAAATAAGAAAACCATCATTTGCTATTTTCTAACACAAAAAATTGTAAAAATTAAGAATCTGAATAAATGTATACTAAGCTATATGATTGCTTAAATAAATATGTATGAACACAGTATCTTCCTGGACAGTAAAAAGAAGTACCAAATTTAGTGTAAAGGCTATATTTAGTTGCAAATCAAAATGTTTTAATCATTACTAACCAATGAGAATCAATCTTTCTTTAGAAAAGATAACTAAAAATGTACAAATACAAATAAGACTAAAATCAATTATTTAAATCAAGGTTTCCTGCTTGCTGATTTTAATCATTAATTTAGATTATTTAAATCACTTTGATTTAAATCAATCCCAACCTGGTTGTGTAAACACTGTAATATTATTACTAAATAATTTGTGGCAAAGATACAGAAAAGACTGTGCTTTAATACCATAGGCCAAAGACTCCCAAACTGTGATCCTTAGACAATTAGTGGTTCACCAACCACATGCTGGTAATTCACAGAGAGAGATCGCCAGTTACATGATTTTGGTTTCTCCTTATTTACAACTACTAAATTGAATTAAAGGACAGATAAACAACACTGAACCTGGACTAGTTCAGAAAGAATGGAAAACAAGTATTTAAAAATAAATAAGACTCACACCTATCATATGTCTATATATATTTTGATATTGTGATGAGAATAAATGCCAGCCTTGTTCATATTTTAGATGTGCTATTAAAAAAAGAAAAAGAAAAGATGTATAGAATTTCTATAATATATTCAATAAAAGAGGTGGAAAATGAACATTATTTTTACATTAAACAACTGCTATAGTTGCAACGGGGATGTCACGCAATTGTGAATGAAATGGAAGGTGAGTCCACCAGAATGAAAAGGAAAGAAGATGGTCCACAGAGAACAGTTATTAAATATGTGATCCACCCTATAAACAAGTTTGAGAACCCCTGCCAGAAACCCTAGACTAGAAATAAATTTAGTTTTTCTTTTCAACCATGTAAATACTGATCAGTGTTACAGAGGCAACACACTGTCTCATGAGGGAGGAACACAGAAGAGTCATTTTATGAAGCAGTGGAGAAAGCAGATACAGAAGTCTGCACTTACGTTTTCAATGTCTCAGTAACACCTTTTAACTAGGGCTGTCAAGCAATTAAAAAAATTAATCTCAATTAATCGCGCTGTTAAACAATAATAGAATACCATTTATTTAAATATTTTTGGATGTTTTCTACATTTTCAAATATATTGATTTCAATTACAACATAGAATTCAAAGTGTACGGTGCTCACTTTATATTCATTTTTATTACACATATTTGCACTGTAAAAAACAAAAGAAATAGTATTTTTCAATTCCTCCATTACAAGTACTGTAATGAAATCTCTTTATCATGAAAGTTGAACTTGCAAATGTAGAATTATGGACAAAAAAATAATTGCATTCAAAAATAAAAAGATGTAAAACTTTAG